AACTTGGGCAACATACCAAGACCTCCCTATTACTACTAGTATAAAAATTAAAAATTAAAAAAATATATATCCAGGCATGGTGGTGCATGCCTGTCATCCCAGCTACTTGGGAGGCTGAGGTGGGAGGATAGCTTGAGTCCAGGAGTTTGAGGTTGCAGTGAGCTATGATTGCACCACTGCACTCCAGCCTGGATGACAGAGACCCTATCTCAAAAAAAAAAAAAAAAAGAAGAAGAAGAAGAAGAAGTAGTAGTAACATCAATGGCGAAAACTTGAGGAATACATTAACTATAAAGAAAAATATGGGCCAGGTGCCGGGGCTCATGTCTGTAACACCAACACTTTGGGAGGCCAAGGTGGGTGGATCACCTGAGGTCAGGAGATGGAGACCAGCCTGACCAACGTGGTGAAACCCCGTCTCTACTAAAACTACAAAAAGTAGCTGGGTATGGTATTATGCACCTGTAGTCCCAGCTACTCCGGAGCCTGAGGCAAGAGAATCGCTTGAACCTGGGAGGTAGAGGTTGCAGTAAGCCAAGATCGCGCCACTGCACTGCATCCTGGGCAACAAGAGCAAAATTCTGTTTCAAAAAAACCTATGAATTAATTAATTATTTAAAAAAAGAAAAATATGTAGAACAATAACTCCCACCCAAAGGAAATCACTGATTTCTGTGTTTCTCCATCCATCCTTGTACATAGCTTCATACTGCAGTGGTGCCCACATTTGTCATTTGATAATTCACTATAAGTATTTTTCCAAGTTAACATTCTTCTAAATCATGATACTTAATAAATTCATGATAATCCATTATATGAATGTACCATAAATTGGCCGGGCACACTGGCTTATGCCTGTAATCCCAGCAATTTGGGAGCCCAAGGCAGGCAGATCACCTGAGGTCAGGAGTTCAAGACCAGCCTGGCCAACGTGGAGAAATCCCATCTCTACCAAAAATACAAAAATTAGCTGGGCATGGTGGTGTGTCTGTAATCCCAGCTACTCGGGAGGCTGAGACAGGAGAATTGCTTGAGCCCAGGAAACAAAGGTTGCAGTGAGCTGAGATCACGCCACTGCACTCCAGCCTGGGTGACAGAGTAAGACTCCATCTCAAAATAAAACAAAACAAAAAACCATAATATTTAAAGCATATAATACCCAATTGAATAGAACTAGCACTCTGTCACTCTAGATTCATGAGCTCCTCCTGCCTCAGTGTCTCAAGTAGCTGGGATTACAGGCAGGTACAAACAAGCCTGGCTAATTTTCTTTACTTTAGAGATGAGGGTCTCACTGTGTTGCCCAGGCTGGTCTGGAACATGTGGCCTCAAGTGATCCTTCTGCCTCAGCCTCTAGAGTAGCTGGGATTATAAGCGTGAGCCACTGGCCTGGCCAAGTTCACCCTTTTGATATATACGATTCAATGGTTTTTAGTATATTAACATAGTTACACAATTATCAACCACTATCCTATTCCAGAACATTTTCATCACCTGAGAAAGAAACCCCATATCTGTTACCAGTCACTTTCCATTCTCCCCTCCCTCCAGCCCCTGACAATATTTTCTGTTGGTACCACTGTTTTCTACAGCCCCCTAAGATTTCTTGCCCTGCTAGATAAGTTTTTTTTTTTTTTTGAGACAGAGTCTCACTCTGTTGCCCAGGCTGGAGTGCAGTGGCACGATCTCGGCTCACTGCAACCTCCGCCTCCTGGGTTCACGCCATTCTCCTGCCTCAGTGTCTCAAGTAGCTGGGATTACAGGCAGGTACAAACAAGCCTGGCTAATTTTCTTTACTTTAGAGATGAGGGTCTCACTGTGTTGCCCAGGCTGGTCTGGAACATGTGGCCTCAAGTGATCCTTCTGCCTCAGCCTCTAGAGTAGCTGGGATTATAAGCGTGAGCCACTGGCCTGGCCAAGTTCACCCTTTTGATATATACGATTCAATGGTTTTTAGTATATTAACATAGTTACACAATTATCAACCACTATCCTATTCCAGAACATTTTCATCACCTGAGAAAGAAACCCCATATCTGTTACCAGTCACTTTCCATTCTCCCCTCCCTCCAGCCCCTGACAATATTTTCTGTTGGTACCACTGTTTTCTACAGCCCCCTAAGATTTCTTGCCCTGCTAGATAATTTTTTTTTTTTTTTTGAGACAGAGTCTCACTCTGTTGCCCAGGCTGGAGTGCAGTGGCACGATCTCGGCTCACTGCAACCTCCAACTCCCGGGTTCACGCCATTCTCCTGCCTCAGCCTCCCGAGTAGCTGGGATTACAGGCAAGTGCCACCACGCCCAGCTAATTTTGTATTTTTAGTAGAGACGGGGGTTTCACCATGTTGGTCAGGCTGGTCTTGAACTCCTGACCTCAAATGATCCACCCGCCTCGGCCTCCCAAAGTGCTGGGATTACAAGCGTGAGCCACTGTGCCCAGCCCCCAAATATCTTTTAATGGGTAAATCTTAGGATAATCAGTGATACATTGATACACTGGAATACTAATCAATAATACTACTAATATATATATTTTTTAAATTTATTTTTTATTTATTTATTTATCTATTTTTTTTGAGATGGAGTTTCACTCTTGTTGCCCAGGCTGGAGTGCAATGGCACTATTTCTGCTCACTGCAACCTCTGCCTCACCGGTTCAAGCGATTCTCCTGCTTCAGTCTACTGAGTAGCTAGGATTACAGGCGCGAGTGATCACTCCCAGCTAGTTTTTGTATTTTTTTTTAACAGAGACAGGGTTTCACTATGTTGGTGTGAGCCACTGTGCCTGCCACTAATAATAAATTTTTAATATGTATGTGACTTAGAAAATCAAGTCAAAATTACTACAGAGACCTCCTGTGTTCAGTTGAGTAATAAACTGTTTCATGCTTGTCTAATCATCAGGAACTGCATCACAGACTCATTCCCTCTAGATTCAAACTGTCCTTTTTTTCAGGAGGCAAATATTTAAATAATTATCTTTGTATTAAATGTTTAAAAAGTGAAAGCCGGCCGGGCACGGTGGCTCATGCCTGTAATCCCAGCACTTTGGGAGGCCAAGGCAGGTGGATCACAAGGTCAAGAGATCAAGACCATCCTGGCCAACATGGTAAAACCCCGTCTCTACTCAAAATACAAAAATTAGCTGGGCATGGTGGTGCACACCTGTAGTCCCAGCTACTCGGAAGGCTGAGGCAGGAGAATCGCTTGAACCCGGGAGGCGGAGGT